GGCTAGTAAAAATCTGGCATCTCTCTGTGGTTGGTAATTCCATCTTCTTATCCTCTGTGCTTCTGTGTGGCTTCTTCGACTTGACCTAAAATTGAAACTGTACTTCCATATTAAAACTGGAATGTTTTGCTATATAATCTGGAGTTGGAGAATCTTGATACAGAAGTTTTCAGCTGGTTGTTAAGTCTTTGGTGGGAAAATTTCTTCCTTATTCCCCATTCGTGCAATGAAAAGTATCTTCTGTATTTGGGATATCATTTGCTCATTAGCACTTTGTCCTTTCATGGAAGTATCTTCCACAACAGAACAGGATACAGCTTCTCCCTGGTGTTTGGTCACCATTTATTATCCAACGAATCTGAGACTAAAGGTGGAGAACAGCTCATGGGCCATGACCTAGAGACAGTTCAATTCAGGAGTTAGGGGAATTTCATGTGAAATAAGAGTTCTGTAGATAATTTCTTGGCATGGAATCAAATATTCTTTTATCTTCTCAGTCCCCTTCAGAACAGCTCCCTATATCTGCATCATCCCACTCACCTTGCTTACAAAGTGTAAATGCTTATTTCCTTCCCTCTCCTGCTTCTCAACATGAAACAATATTACATATAAAATAAGGTTATTGTGCCACAAAACTGCAATCCATTTCAATGTCAATCCCCCAAATCTCAGAACTAAAGCTCTCTTAAATCTCTCCAGGTTTGAAATTGAGATCAAGCCAGGGAATACTTCTGTTGCTGATTTTACATTGATGTTTTGTATTTCATTTGAAGACTTTTAGCTTTATCTTACACTAAACTCTCTCCAATCTCCTACACTGGCACAGACAGGATAAACTGACCCCTACACTGTATAGATAAAAGAGAAGCTTCCACCCCTCATAGAACTACAGCACTTTCAACCCTGAAAGAAGCAATGTGGGAGCAGCTTCCCATGCCCCCCCTGGTGCCTTTGCCTGCATCTACTTGCCAAATTCCATCTCTGCACTGGAAACTCCTTAGTGAATGGCCTGAAGTCTGCATGCTTCCACCTTCCACACTGTGAGTCTCCCCACAAATTCTTACTCTGACTGAACTGGCTTTTTCCTGGACGGTCTCTGAAAGCCTCTCCCTGTCCAGCCATACTTTACAAAGGCAAGGGGGAAGAAAAAAAAAAAAAAAAAAAAAAAAAAGGTAATTGATTCTACCATTATTAATGCTCACTGATTTCAGCAATGAGCTCTGGGTGACCTACTCTGATCATCTGTCTCTTCTCACTCTTTTTTTGAAAGCTCGCTACGTACAGACAGTACGAGAAAAGGGCTGGCTTCCTACACACCTGCCAAGCGCAGGTCCTGCACTTCCAACTGCCAGCACTTCATGTAAAAAGTACTGCACTACTGGGAACAAACAGATTCATTTAGCAAACAAGTTCAACACGGGTAAATCTGTCAACCTCGAATCATCTGCCGTCTCTAACGAGAGCATGAGGCTTTAAGACCATGCAGGGTAACGTTCTGCTCAGCTAGTGCTCTAATGGGCTGCAGCCTTGGCTCTCACAGCAGAGAATCCCTACAAGGCTGAAAAATGGGTGTGCGTGGGATCTAACACACAGAGATGTTGAAGATCACTGACACCAGCAAACTTCCATTTTATTTCTTCCATTTATTTTCTTCTGAAAGTTATTTTCCATGCTCCTGTTTAATTTATGACTGGTCTGACTAGGTCAAGTTGAAGGAGATTCTATTAATCCCTGAGATGAAAGGATTTATTTTCAGAGAAAAAAATAAATCAGAAGTAAATGATTTCTTCGCTAGGGAGTGTAAGTACCCTGAACTGTCATTGTTCTTCTCTGGGCTTAATGCCTGCATTCAGTCCCAACCAGATGGGTCCTGTGCAAAGGAAGGCTTGAGCACTCCTCCTACACTTGGTGCTTCTCCGCCAGCATCCCCGCTCATGCACGGTACTGGCCACAGCCTCCTAACACATTTTTAAATGCCATCATAACAGCACCGGAGGTGTTAAAGCTGCCTACTGCATCACAGAACTCCACCATAAACCTCTTTCTCTTCCTCCTGATTGCTTGCTGTTCTTCTACAGAATGCCCTGCGTCTTTCACTTGCAAATGATCCAGCATCTTTCCCTAGAAAGGCCTGAAGAGCAATCTATTTTGTGATTTTTCAGCCAGCACATTCATCTCAGTACTTGTTCAATTCTGACAGTTGTCCACATGAGTTTGAAGCAGCATATCTTGTTTGTTCAGCACCCCTTTGAAAGGATGTTCTTTAGCTGCACTTCGTCTGAACTGGAGATAACAGCACAAACCCGAGAGAATAAACCCCTCGTTAATACTTCAGATCTGTGTCCGAACATACCAAGATTAACACTAAATAAAGCTCATCCTGTAGTCAAGCAAGCATAGGCTTAGCCATCATTCTCACCTAATTCATACAGCTGCTCTGTTTCAGCTTCTAACAGAAGCACTGCTGATAATTTTATTTACTTTCTTTCCACCTCTCTCCTGAGTTAGCCTGTTCTCAGTCTATTCTCATGTGACAGAGAAGCTAAGCATTTCAGGGATCAGGCTTTCTAGCTGCTTTGAGCATTCTTTCTTTCCCAATTATTTTATTTAAGTGCAAGTTATTGATCATTATTATACACTCAGAAACTCTAAGATGAAATGCTATTTTACAGATAGCAGCCACGAAAGTATTGCAATAATGAGTAAGGTGGCAGGTTTTCATTCCCCCAGAACAGACTCTTCAGGCAGCATTCCCTTCCAACAGCCAACCTTTTAAGAAGCATTTTTGTTGCTGATTTCTCAGCTTCTATGGCATAGGTAGCAAGTGTTGCTTAAAGTGAGCCTGAAAATACTTTTCTAATATTTACATAGAGAAGTGCACAAAATCATGAAGAACACCACATGTGTGGATAGCTCAGGCCATACACACCTGAAAAGCTTTTTATCTTCCCCCATGGTGGGCAACTACTCTTCTCTGCACTATTAAAGCTGCTACTTTTAGGTCTTTAATTAAAAGAGTCCATTAAAATAGTGCATGCCAACTATATCACAGATATTTCCTCAAACACAAACCACTGATAACACAGAATTAAAAAAGCCTTAAGTGCCTAATGTATTTGGTACCGTCTGACCTGATCAAACCTCCGTTACGAGAGTCTTTAGTTTACTAGTGAAAATACAGGTGTAGCTGCAGCTGTTCATGCAGTCCTCAAGGAAACTGGATTAAAAGAAAAACTAAAATACACAAGGACTAAAGGAGAGAGCAAAAATATATTCCCTATGGCAACGTATCAGCCAAGGATCTGTACAGATATTTAATTGATTTTGAAAAGCAGGGAGTCAGACATCAGTTAGAAGATGTATTTGAGAGCTAAGTAGTGAACTGGTCACCTAACAGGCTACTTGTTAAACAGGATAACCAAAAGCTCTAGAAGAGCTTTCTGTGTATAAGAAGAGATACATGCCAAGGAACCAGCAAACTAAACTCACCCATTAAACCTAACATTTATGGAATAATAATAATTGGCTCAAGCTTTATACCTGTTTTTGTCAAAACACCCCCATGGAACTGAAAGTGTTCGTTATACCAGTGCAACCCACTAGAGGTCCAGTTACATCGAGCAGTTTAAAATATATTTGGTAATAAAGGGCAAGGTCTGGGCCACTATCCTCATATATTACCAGAATCATCTGGGTTGCCACAGGTATCAAAGTCACAAGTCTTTTGAAACTTCTGGTTAGAACAAAAAGCCTTGTAATATGGTGGTTGGTTTACAGAGATAAAGAACAGATTAAATAAGTGTTTCCATAATCCATTAATTAGATGGATTGGATTATTAGATTGGAGAAGTTCTCCTTAATAGAATACCAGGGTATAAAGATTGTTAGCTCAGTTTTAGATCACCTGTTATGATGCTTGAAAACAGTGAAAACGGCAAGCTGAAATAGAAACAAAACCTCAAGACTTTACACCAGTCTTCTATACTATACTGATGACAGAAGAACTTTAATGCAAAGAGATACTTTTGCATCTCTCTGTGTAAAAGAGACAATATTACACATCTGATCATACAGCAGAACTTCATCAGAATCTTATAAAACAAAACAGATATAGGTAAATATAAATATAGGGTGTGTGTGTATATATATGTGTGTGTTTATATATATATAAATCACCTTGACAAAAATGGAAAAACTCCATGTCTCATCAGAAATCCCATGAGCAGGCTGTGAGTGCAGAACGAATGCCTTGAGTGGTTTCCAAACATGGGGTCTTGTCAGTGTGTGCTGTCCACACACAACTCATTTCATTCATGCAGTAGCAAGGCTCAGTGTAACAGTGCTGTCAGTCTGCTTTGTAAAGCTCCAATTTAAACTTAATTTACCTATTTCCCACATCATTCTTTCTTCCACTTGGAGAAGCAGAGACGTCTGCACTAACAGCCTTCTGACTGCTAAGCAGTTTACTGGCGCATAGGTAGCCTGTAACTTAAGGCAGCTTTCCAGCAGAAAGCCATTTAAAATTTTACAAGAAATTGTATCAGCCAAGATGATGTCCCAAGACACAGCTAAGAAAGGTGAGTGGTGAAAAACTGTGTTTGCCCACCTATTTGTGTGAGGAACCACATAAAAAAGGGCAGCTTTTGCCTTCCACTTCTGTACAGGAAGGAGACCCTTAATGACTAGTCTGCGTTGTTTCTAGTTACCCTCCGAATGCTTCAAAATAAACTGCAAATTGTATGCTGTATTGCCCGGATTACCAAGAGTTCCAGAATTGCTGTCACCCTAAAGATCACAGTATACAACCCACAGCCCCTGGATTAAGCTGCTTTCACCTCAGTCTTTCTGCTTCACTAGCTCCAGATGCTCGACTTGTCTTCCACTGTGTTTGTAACTAAGGTGGCATAAGGAAACTGCACACAGAACACAACTGTCTTTGGATTACCTACTGAAAGAATCAGTGTTCCCAAGAGACTCAGAATTGTTCTACTAGAGCTCACCTCCTCAACCATGTGCTTGACTTTCTTCTGTTGGCAGTGGACCATGTCATCCAGATGTTTGATTCGCTCCCTGAGGCTAGCTGCTACCTCCTCCAAGTGCTGTGACCTACCAAAACAGGGAAGAATTCAGCGTGTAAGAGGGGAGCTGTGCAGGATAAGCAAAACAAGAACCACCCCCACCATAAATCAGGAAGACTAGGCAGGTCAGATTCTACTGACAGATGTCAGTTTGTCCAAATTACATTTGAATAGTAGTTTTCTACTCAAAGTGTCTGTCTCCACCCCAGTCAACTCACCTCTGTCTTGCATACTGGCATGCTTACTCAGAGACCAAAATGCTGACAATTGAACAATGTGACAAAGCTCATCTCCTGAAGATGCCTGTTTTTCCTTGAAGTGAAAAGCATTTAGACAACTAGATCTTTATCATCAGAAAGGGACATTTATCATGACTTATTACCACCTGCAAACTTTGTGGAAATGCATACTAAATAAAAGCCAGGAAGCACATTTCCTGGCATCCTTTTAAAAGCTCTCCTAATACAGGGTAGCCTTGAGTCAAGGACTTGGTATCGTTGCCAACAGTAGCAGACTGCTAACTGGAGTAGTATTAACTCATCAACACTCAGCAGGAATTATGGATGTTTTCAGCTTGTATATATGACTCTTTAGATAGATCCTGCATTTCTTCAAATCTGTTGAACACAGAAATTGAACACCCACAAGAACTCTTGCCAAAAGCTGGTTTGACAGCTTGCCAGAAAAGTTGTTTTAGAATATGTAAAGAAACAGGAGGGAAGATTTTTAGTAAGTTTTTGGCATATTGGTCACAGGAGCCTCCACTTTCATCTAAACGTAGAATTCTTTCTTACAAAATAAACTTCTGTACTCCTGGGTTTAAGACTGGACGGAATTTGAGAAGTGGAGGAGAGGAATCAAAAACAAAAAGGCTTTTCTCATCTTGGTCTGTGCACAGCTGAAGAAACTGTTGAAGCTGCAAACAGAACAACCACTCTAAGGCAAAGCAGCAGATGGCAAACTGTACAACATGATCCAGTGACTGGCTGGACTGTATTCTCTTACCCCAGAAAAGTCTCCACTAACAGTGAAGTACTCCACAGAACTGGAACTGCAGCACGTTGGCAAGGACTCGAAAAAATCAAGGCGCTGCTGCAGGTTTTTCAATCCTGCATATTAAGGTCTCACAAAACCTCAACTGACGTTTTGATTGCAATTGTAACACAAACTTGGGCTCTCACGGAAAGACTCGGAATGGAGCTGAGGTCCCTCTTCAGGTGGAGCCCAAGTGTCTGGCTGGGTACAGACAGGTAAAGAGAACTTAAGAGCAGACTTCAGCACCTCAAGACAGATTCATTGCTTGTGTAGACTGCATCTGTGTCTTGCTTGCATTGCAGAAATTCCTGTCTGAACACTGCCTTCACCCTTTCTACTGCAGCATAACTTTTCGTGCTGAGTGGATGGGGCAGGATTCACTGAAGGGAGAAGAGCAGCTGTTACCTACCCAGAGGTGAAGGAAGAAAGCAATTATCCTTCATCTCCATATTCCATGCTGTATGCAACATCTGTTCATTTAAAATGATTATTGTAACAGGCTGCTGTGAAAAGCCATTATTACCCTGAAACCAGAAAAGCTGGTTACAGATCAACCCAACTAGGCAGTGAGGTGCTCCTGGCAGGGACCTCCTCTTATGTTTATGCTTCTGCAGAACAGTGGGATGCCAAAACCTTAAAACTGAATTCCTGGGTGCCACAGAAATTTAAGTAGTAATCAAGTACAATTACTCAGTCTGTGCTTAGAATTCACCTGTACCCGCTCAAGTAGTGTCATATAAACCTTTGAGCGGCAGATGCAATTGTCACTCCAATGGCAGCCACCCTATTTCAGGGTTGGATAGACTTCTCTCGAAACTTTCCATCTGCCTTTGCTTGAAGCTTTCTTTTGCCTGGCCATGGTGCTCTGTCAGTCTCAAAGGGTAGTTCTGGATGCACGTGCCACCTCTGGGCGGAAACAGCACATCCAGGTGCCCCCACACCACCAGATCTTTTAAGCTCGTGCTTTCGAGAACAACCATTCACAGAGGTCTCGCTGCCAATATCACCCTCAGTTTCCCCAAATAACTTCATAGCTTATTTCTGCACTGTGATGCCACACGACAAATTTATTCCACAGCTCCATTCTGTTCATGTGTATATGCTAACGTGCACCACATATGTAGACCTGCCCCTCCAGGTCTCAAATATATTCCCTGCTTTCCCTCTTTTATACAAAAAAAAGACACTTCTGGCAGTTACACATGAAACTCTTGCTCTCCTCAAGAGTTCATTTTTTAACACAGGATACAGAATGTCTTTTCTTTTGAAATTGTGTTGAGCCGTCTAGAAGGAGATAATGAAACTATTCATAGTCAGGATCATACTGTGCTGGATTTGGGAATGCAGATTTAAGGAAAATGCAATCCACAAATACGTCACAACTTGTTTTGTCTCAAATGTACTCTGCATGTTCGCAAACAACTTTTCAAGAAAGATGCATGAAAGTGGGTTTTGTTGCAAAAATTCATCCTATCACTATTTTATACTGTAAATAAACTTACATTCAGATGGACGATCCCTACCAGACTGCAGTTTTAAAGTTAGAAAAAGCAAAATTCAAAAAAATTCAAAAGCAAACCAACCCCTAAAGTTTCCTAGCAAAACTAACAGAAAAGACATATCTCACCTTTCACTGTCAGAGCTGTTGTCAGATTTTGCTCCAGATATCTGTATTTCATTTAGTTCAAGTTGCTTTTGTAGCTGGTGACGTTCCTAAAGAAGAAATGTTATCCTTCAGTTCTCCATGTATCAAAATGTAAAGGCTTCACAAAGCAAATTTAATTCCAGTTCAAAAGATTATTTGTGAAATTAAAATAGAAACTGATTAAACAAAATTAATGCATTTCTTGCAGCCAAGGAGCACAGAACGCATAATAATAAAATCAAATTCCCAGCTATGTATGGCAATAAGATCAGAGTTTTCAGTTTTCTGTTTGAAGATGTACAGTTGTACTTGAAACTGGATATTTTGAATAAAAAGATGTCATCACAGTCTTTAACTACATAAGTGTCAAGTTTTCCATGTTATCCCTCCAAAAAGATCTCTCAGTCCAAGGCTGAGATAAAAGGTATTGCTCTATTTTCTTCTCCAACATACATCTGTTTATTTTTAGGTGTCCACCAGCACAGTGCTCACAAAGATCTATGAGGACCTGGGGACTGAGACAACACAAAGTAACAGAGAGTCTGCTGTCTCCTTTAATAGGAACTTAAGATGCATTCAGATGCAGCCAGATAAGAGCAAATTAAATAACCAATGTGAAGAAACTCATCTGTACTTAAGAACTCCATTGCAATCCTTTATTCATTGCGTAACACTTACAAGCTGTAGACTGAAGCCCAGATGAAGTTAATGAAGCTACTAAAGGGGCATATTAAGCTGAATGATTTCTCAATGTAATCACTAATTCTACTAATAGATTTGCAAGCATTTGAGGAAAGGGACTCGGTACAAATGCACATTAGACTAACCAGTCAAGCCTACAAAACTGGCTTATAAAAATCCATTTCTCAGTAACAAATATTTAGTAAACTAAGGTAAAGCTGATGAAAAAACACTTCCCTTGTAAAACCAGAAGACTCTATTACCAGAATGCTCTTGGCTTCTGTATTTTAGAGAGTACAGATCTTTAAAGACAATGAGATGCCTGCTATTTACAGAAATGAGAAATGCCCAAGTACATCCGAAAGCACTGGAATCTGTTGAAAGGGCTGCTTTTACACCCTTTAGAGACACTATTCAGTCTAGGGACTAAACAATAACATCCACTGTCAGTTAGGTGAATTATACCAGAAAACAAAGACGACATTTCACCCAACTATTTGAGACAGAAGATATAAAGCTTTCCCATATATCTGAAAATGTTCGAGAATGAGATTCAGATGGAGGGTATTCAGATGCAAGGAGAGGTAATGTGACACTCTTAGGTTTAACAATACGTTAAAATAATAATCACCTGACTACTAGACTGAGTTTTGCCCTGCTATGAAGACCATAAAAGAGAAGGAAAAGCAGGAAATAAAAAGAAACAATGCAAAAACTGCTACAACTAGTTTTACAGTAGTTCTGCCAGTGTCACAGGAGGTAAACATCTCAAACCATTTCTGCTTTCAGAGCTTTAAAATAACCCCCTGCTCTCAATTAGTAAGGAATATTTAGCCAGGGAGAGTAATAATTAGAAGTTTTTTAATGCTACCAGGAAAGGAAGAACCTAAGTTTTGGATTAAAAGGCAGTAAAAATGAATTTTTCTTCTCTCCTCAAGGTATTCTGAGCCATAATCTAACTAAGATAGGTATCTGCATGGAAGATTAAGTGGCTGCTACATACCCACAAAAACCCCTCAAAACATTTTAGTCTGAGGCTTTCAGTTCAGCATTTCATCCCCATGTGGAGAAATTTGGAGATACAATTCCAATCAGAAATATAAATAGCTAAACAGTAAGGTCTATTCCTAACTAAAACACATTTTTATGAACCTGTCAACAGCATTTCAAAGCGACTTTGGATCATTTATGTTTATTACTGCATTAGGCTTAGGAGACCTTGCACACTGAAGGAAGAGGGCGTGGTCTTTACAAACTTTTTCTTTAAAGTAATGGTTAATTTGCTAAATAAATTTTGACTTTTTAGGCAGCTCTGACTGTAAAGATCACCAGAAAGACAGAAGAATCACTTAATCAGTGTCTCAGTGGTAGTCCAGGTCCATTTACTTACATGGCTACAATAACTAAGTGGAGATGCAAGCAGCAATAGTATGTCACTGAGCAGGGTACTAAGCAGCAGACAAAAATTTAAAAACCAAATTTTAAAAAATCAAATTTCCTCCATGCACTTCTGCATTTCCTTTGAAGGTGGCAGTCAGCCAAGTCCCATACCTCCTCCATGCGCTCAATCAGGCGGTCCAGCTCACCGATTCGCTGGTCCTTCTCCTGGATGCTTGTCTCTGTAACCTGCATCTTCTTATTTGCCTCTTCAATAGCCTTCAGGAGCCGATTCGTTTCCTCCTGCAGATAAGAACATTCACAGTCACATTAACATCCAATATATTCACGAGGATTTTTTTCTTTTTTAAGGACACAGAGCCAGGCTAATAGGTTTTAAGCAGAGCTCAAAGCTTTTCACTACACCTGCCCAGAAGTCTGGAGGATCTGTGAGCCTAAACATGAACTGTATAGAACAAAATATTTGGGGGATTTTGAAGTGCAAAGGTATTTGTAAAGCATCAGTATGAAAATCTGATTGAAATTTTTTACCCATTTCTTAGATATTTGTTTTCCCTTCTGAGGGTACCGTGAAGTAACGGCTAAGAAAAATACAGCATTGCAGAAGACAGCATTATAAACACCAAAGTCTGCCATGTTCAGCTTTGTACTTTCCTCGCATATAAACCAATATGAATAGAGAGAGACTGGGGAACATACCTTCAATCAGTCATTATCTATATCAGAAAAATCCAGTAACTAACTGCTCACAGAAAAATTTTACCTGAGGGTAGAAGGAAGCCACAGGACAGGAAGAGTTCTTGCTCCAGGAGCATCCAGTGAACTGATTCTTAAATTATCACTAAAACTGGACATTATATTTTCCTTTTTTTTTAGAGAAACAGAAGTTAAAGAAACCAACTTACTCTATTTCAAATTTTTAAATCTACATTATCATTACTGTTACTGTGTTTGAACACATTCCTTTCTTAGCCCTACAACCACAAAAGTTTGGAAAGCTTAGTAAGTGTGGCATGACTACTCACAGAGACAAGAGTCAATGAACACATGTCAGCTCTGGAGTAGTAAGTGATTGGAAATGACATCCAAGTGAAGCACCACTCTTACAGACTGGCTATACGTACTAGGAGGATTTCTTTCTCAGCTTTATGTTTCTGCTCCTCTTCTCGCATTTTTTCCTCATACTGACTATACAGTTTTCTTGTCATCTCCCTCATGACTTCAGCATTGGCTTCCTGTGAGGATTCCACCTATGAGAGGGGAAAGTTGATCTATCAGTCAGTACAGCACTGCTGGCAGTAAGAGAAACAGGGTTCACATGATGTCAGAGTAACACTTTGAACTTCAGCTCCACCTTGTTATAAATTTGACACTGCTGAAGCAGCTTTTCATTAGCATCAAGACCATTTGCAACACTCTGCCAGTATGTAAGTCATTTGAGTTTGTAGAAGTTACCATTTCATCGTTTCATGTTGTCATTGTTTATCCAAGACCAGGCTATGCCTCTTTACTGTTACTTCCATGACAGCCTCCAAGTCACTTGGGTTGTTTCCCCACTGGAAAGATTGTTTTCCCCTACTTTACAGAAGCATGGATTAGAGGAGGTCTAGGCTCAGCTCCCATTTCTAAATGGCCACGAACACTGACTGCAGTAAGGACTTTCAGCTGGACCCAAGGGCGTGTTGTTAGCTGGAAGACACAGCTGTACGCTCCCTCCTCTCTCCCGCTTTTTCACATACTGCTCTTCGTGTAGGCACAAGAACTGAGGTGACCATGAAGCAAAGCAGATCAGGGAACAATCAGACCTAAATTAATAAACTCAGGGGTGTGGAAGGGTTAATTTTTAACCACAGGACCAGAAACTTTACTACTGCTACAGGGAAGAGGGCAGGAATCCTAACTCAGAGACAGGATTTCCCCCTTCTGTGGACTCAAAACACTGACTGAACCACACCCTCAGTGATTAAACACCAGATAGGATATTCACAGTTTAATCCCATCTACTCGGTAAACCACAATAAAAGCAAAGTAAAAAAGCCAGCCTAGGATTTAGTTCTCTTACTAGAGATACTATAAATCCGACAAGGTTATAGTGAAATGCTGTGGGTGCTACAAGAACGTCAGGAGGAGGAGGAGGAGGTATGTACTGTCATCTGGGAGAAGAAAGAAGTGTTCCCTGCTGATCACTGCAGTTAACACAGCCACAAAATACCTGGTTCCGATGATTAAGGTTTTGGGGGTTGGGTTTTTTTTTTCATTTCAAGGACTGAAAGATTTATTAAAGCCTTGTGTTTATCTTAGGACGGGAACAAACTGTTTTACTACCCTGTAGGACAACAACAGTGTGTTTCATCCTCTGAAAAGGGACTGAGCTCTGAAATACTCCACTTGTACTGCAGTTGCCCCCTTCGGTGTCTCACCTGGACCAGCACTGGGCAGGGGCAGTAACCTGCACTTTGTGAGAGGGAGTGGAGTTAAATTAAGTTTCAGCACAACACAAAACCTTCCACATTTCAGGAAGCCTCAAAGAATCGTAGGATTCCAAAAAAGCCAACAATCAAAACCCATTAAGAGACACTGAACTGCAGTATGGTCTCTGGCACTGCCTCTCCTTCATTCCTTTGCTTATAGCTTGAGCAACGAGGAGAGTAAAAACACGCATGAAAGGGTAGAGGCATCAGGGCATCTGCTACAGTACCCTTAAACAATATCCCTAACCTCAGTGGTTGTTGATTGTATGAGTAAACCAAACCTACTTAATAAGCTACGTGGGTGTGTTCTCCCTTCCAGAAAATAATCATGGCATACAGTAGTTACTGCCTTTCAGCTGCTGACCTCCCAGCTTCCACAGAATCCTCTTACGTGCACACTTGGAATGAAATCCCAGATGTCTTGGCATCTTTGGTACACGATTTTCTGTTTAACCTTCAAAGACAGCGATGTGGTATTTCATGCACTAACTTCATCATAAAACTGCAACTTTGACAGCAAAATTTAAACTTTTTCCTCATTAAGGCAGGGCAGCTATTCTGCAGACCTTGATAGGCTTGAAGATAAACAAATCCTGAGGCATTCAGCTGAACTGGGGCTTAACCTGTGGCTCTGCCCTTAGAAGCAGACATACCTTTCCCTGACTTGTTGGTGCATGTCCTTAAGATTATCGTAAAGTCCAAATTTCTGTTTTGAAATCTTAATTGCATCAGCTTTGCTTTCTTCTTTTAATTGGCTTTTCCTTCCTTTTATCTCCTGCTGACAATAGCAGGTACAAAATACAGCTACTTTTATAGCCTGCAAATCTTCATTATGAGAGGAAATTAGAACATGAATTTTAAGTTGAAATACAGGTTAGTATTTTCTCTTTCAGCCATTCATCATTAAGCAAGAATGCAAGTCACTAGAGAGCCAAAAAGAAACATCTTTGACAAAATTGAACATGAATAAACCAGCAATCACCTTAATTTCACAGTGACAAATTATGATGCAGTACTATATCCAAATTAGCCTGTTTCAAGCAATTTTGAGAGACAGAGGTTTCCAGAAGAGGTTTTTTTGTTGGTTTGGGGGTTTATTGGTTTGTTCGGTTGTTGTTTTGGGGTTTTTTAGGTTTTTTAAATTTTTTAAAAAATGAGATTAAAGGAATACATTTGGCAGATGAGGGAGGAAAACAGTCAAGCCTTCTGGCATATAAACCCACTTGGTTTGCATTTTATTCCCTTGCATTTCTCTGACAGAAATGCCTTAATTCTCTTTCCAAGACACTTGCTGTTACAGCACATATCTACTGACCATATGCTCATAAAACTTAAGAGATTACCTATTAAAAATTGTGCAGTACCAAACAAACAAATAAAACATCAAGAAATTCTCACAGTACTGTGTAGAGTTATGGAAAGACTGCTCCTGAGATTCTCTGTTATTAAACCAGTATTGATTCACAGGAATATGTCAGCTCTAAGGAACGATGAAGGCGTGAAGAATCCTTTACAAATTAGGCCAAGGAATAACACACTCCTAATGTCCTTACTGTGCAATATTTTTAGGGAAGTTTATATACTGCACCTTTAATTTCAGTAACTGATTTTCAATTTGTGCCGTTTCCAGTTGCTTTTGCTTCTCTCTCAGCTTTTCCATAGATTGCTCATGTGTATGTTTTAAATTCCTTATTTGTTCCCTTATATCAGTGTTCTCCAGTGTAACATCCACTAGAGTTTTCTAGAAGAAAGAGGCAAACCACATATTAAAAATCACAAATAACTTGGTGAACTAACATAGTCAATAGATTATGGGACAGACAGAACATTTAAGAGTTTCCTGATGTACCAATGCAGTGTGAACAGTTTTGCAAGTTTTAACATTTAAAATTATGGCTTTTGTCGTATTTAGTTTACTACAAGGTATTTCCATGAGGAACATGCTCAGTGAAATCAACTCCTGGAACACCATAAAAAAAAAAGGCACACGGATGCATTTCAGTGTGAGCGCTACTCCCATCAACCTTCCTTTCTTCTCTCCAAGGGCCATGCTGTATGTATTAAAGGCACTAGACAGGAAAACTGACATACAAGCAAGCAGGAACATTAAGTCGTTCAGTTGAGGTACGTGGAAATTTGGAAGTCTTTAAAACAGAAAATTAATTCCCACCCTCTCCCTCCCCCCACATTTCACACGTATATAAATTCTGATTCTTTAGCATCCACACATGCCAAATCCATTTCTGTTCACCACTGCGGGCAGGAGTAAGTCAGGAGATGTACTTTGCACAGCATGGAACAATTCACATTTTCACCTTAGATATTTTGTAGAGACATGACTAGTGGCACCAGTCTGCTGCAGATCAGTATCTCTTTTATTGCACACTATTTCTAACAGGTATTTAAAAACCACAGGTGTTGGAATTTATTTTTTCTCAGTTTCCTAAATTAGCTGCCTTAGATATCCAAGACAGTACTTCATGGGCTTGGTTAGTGTTGGAATCTGTATTTGTCATCCATGTTTTAGGTATGCTTTTAAATCCATGTCAGAAAAGGCAGTTGTCAGCTGTGAACCAGCTATTAAAATGTACCTGCAAGTCTATTGATGCTGATGTCAGGGAGCTGTTCATTTCACTAAAGCTATCTAAGGCTGCAGCCTGCACTCGCACATGATTCTCTAAGGATTCCTGATGAGCATTTGTCACCTGAGCAGAAGAAAAAAAAAAAGTTTTATATAGAATAATGATCACGTTTACCTATTCTTTCAAAGGGAGCTACAGAAGAGAAAGACCCCAAGGTTAATTTTCACAGCACTTGGATGCTTAAAATATACAGGCCTCAAACCATGTTCTTGCATCTCAGAAACAAACAAACAAAACAGAATCCAAATACGCTAACAGAAATAAAGCACAGTAGTCTGTTATCACTGTAAAAGCTGTTCTTTTCGAAAGGACAAGAGGACACTTGGCAGGTGTCTATTCAGAAAGTTTATATAAGCAGAGTGGGCAGATTGTAAAATATCAGGGTGAAAAGCAGAAGAATGCAGGAAATGAGGAAATCCAAAAAGGTTTGGGGGAACTGTAGAACAGCCTTAATTAAGAAGGAACTGACTAATCAGGTATGTAAAGAAGCAACATCAAGAAGACATAAGGAGCTGTGCCAGGGGAGGTTTAGATTGGATATGAGGAAAAAACCTCTTCACCGAAAGGGTTGTCAAGCCTGGGAACAGGCTGCCCAGGGAAGTGGTGGAGTCACCGGCCCTGGAGCTACAGGTGTGACATAAAGACGTACAGATGTGGCACTTCGGGACATGGTTTAGTGGTGGGCTTGGCAGTGTTACCAGTGGTTGGACCCGATGATACTAAAGGTCTCTTCCAACCGAAATGATTCTATGACTCTGTGAAACAACACAGGGCTTTGTTGTGTGAAAATCTGTTATCTTCAGTTATGTATACACACATGCTTAAAAACTGAAGGGGAAAACAAAAAAGGCACAAAGTTACATACTTTAAGAAGAGACCAAAACCCAAACAGCATAAATAATTATGAACCATCCAATAACAAAGAGAGAAAAAAAAAGTTACTAATGAAGGCCAGCCCAACTCACATTCTTAGATGGACCAGATCTGTTTCTTGATAAAAATGTAAGAACACTCGGGACTGATATGGAGAACAATGACTGTTTAGTAACCAAGTCATACCCCGATTAGGTCAGCACAGGGAGCAGAAGCCAAGTAGTTACTGTTAACCCTGTATGAATGTGTGCTCATGTAAAAACAAACAAACAAAAGCAGCAATGCTTTGGATGGGTTAAGGAAGTTACAAGCTAAGGACTGGTGTGAAGAAGCACACTGCCCAGGGCAGGATACTGGAAGTACAAATTCCAAACAAACTTTATGAACAAAAAGTAGTCCTGGAAATGGATGGAAAAAAAAAGCATAGTGATTCAAAGCTGAGGGAAGGACTATATAATGGGTTTTAAACAGAATCCCCAAATAGCATGAAAGACAGCAGTCATATAAAACCAAAACCCAACCAATGCATATATTATTAGGTAGAACAACACTTGTGCTTTCTTTCAGGCAGTCTAAAGTATTAAAAAAGCAGGGAGAGTGTCTCATAACGTGCCATTTACATCAGGAGTGCTTCATAACCTGCTCATCTGCTGCAAAACTGGAGATTCTGTCAGAGCTGGTCAGAAATCCTTAATTAAGAGACATGTTGAGGCTCATGCAGGATCTCTACTGCTCTGACAGATCTGGAAGGGCAGGGTATCACCACTGCTGTTCAGGAAGGGTCAGCAGCAAAGATGACAAAACTGCATCTGAATCAGCATTTGTCTACCAGTACACTGGGTGGGAGATGCACCTTCTGGCATCATTAAGACTATTTAACAGAGTTTACAGAAATTCAGTTTTATCTCCCTCCTCCTCTCCAATCAAGGTGATTTTTGGGGTTTTTTTGGGGGAGGTTGATTCTTTGGTTTGTTGTGTTTTTTGTTTTTTTTTTTCCTTGAGACTAGTTGCCACAGAATACAAGTACCAGTTTAACAGCAAGTTCTGATCTTGGTATGTAACAGAGCATGCAGGGAACGGCCAGCCTCCAAACGGGGATGGCAGAAGGGTGCAAGTCAGGGCCCCAGTCCCATGCCCAGAGCTTCATCTGAACCAGGACTGTGAAAATCAGCATTGAATATAAAATCCACAGCAAGTTTTCCAGGAGATTTCTTGGACCAAAGAAATCAGCAGTTTAATAGGAAGGGTATCTCTACAGATTGCAGCAGTTTTCATTGCTAAAGCAATGTCAGAAGGAAGAGAGGTCACTGAATGACCTTTGCAAGGTTCAGTTAAGAACCAAAAGGTAAGTAATTTTTAGAACTGTCAAGCACTTTAATACTAAAGAATATCGCTACTTCTTTTACTATAGTGTTTAAACAATAAAGTGAGTAAAACAGAGCAAAGTCTGTTGAAATGCCACCAAGTTGCACATTGCTCTTAATTATCTAAGTTACTTATTCAGTTCACCTGGCAGCTTCTGGTACAAACATCTCCACTAATTACTGATACCCACAGCCAAGGCGATCAAGATCATTCTTTTATTCCTGAGAAGCAAATAATGAGTAATTCCATATGCAAAAGCATCCCTGTTCTACTTTACCTTCCTGGAGGGAAAAATAAACAAATAAAGAGTAGATGTCACATAAAACAATGGAGTGGTTAGAGAAAATATTTCTGTTCTGCTGAAGCAAAACAAAAACCAACTGGGGCAGTTATTCTTGTATACTTTCCCTACAAATGATCATACACTTACTTTCAGTTCATTCGTGAGCTGCTGTATTTTTCGTTTCATTTCATCATATTCACCATACATTTTCTTTCTTACTTTTTCCAGAGTTGCTCTCACCTGGTGTCAGAAAAAACCTTTATCAAACTTATTGATAATTCTGTTTATACTAGATTTTTTTTCTATGATGTCCTTCATTGTTACTTTCAGTAGTTTCCATTATAAATCCACCTTTTCATCAGCAACAATTTACTCTTAAAAAGACAAAACCGTAAGTCCCAAGATTTGTCTACATAGGGATGATACAAATGAACATCTGAGTAATTCTAAACTTCCCTGTACACACTTAAACACTTGTAAATTCATAATTTAAATAATGAATTTCAATTAAATTATCTGTAACTCATTCTACCCTGATTACTAAAGGAACTAGAATTAATTGGAGCATATAATGGTTTCTTTCTGAAAGAAAAAATCCACACATGGATTTAATATACCTTCAGATTCAATACACCTCCATACGTTTAGAAGTGGTTGATTAGTTTTTCCTGAATATCATTTGAGGATAAACCTTTTAATTTCAGACTTTTAAACTTGTATCTAGCTAAACAAGATATCAGCATAAATTTACCAATGACATTTCAAATCTGGAAAACAGAGTACTCGGTTTGATTTTATTTGAGAACTACGGATGTAAGGTGTACCTCGCCTTTCTAAAGAAAAAAAGAGAATCAAATTTAACAAAAAAAAAAAAAAAAAAA